GTATTAATTTATCTCTAAACCCAGCATTTTAAATTCTCAGGAACGATCATTGCGGGAAAATTGTGGGCCGGGACTACGATTTTTGAACGATCGATGCGATAAAACGATAGTTCGAGGAACGATAGAAGCGGGAAAATGTAACATTATTTTATATGGGATGTATTCGGGACCGAACAAAACGGACGATGCATCCGGGAAAACGATAGTTCCGGGAACGATGGATAGAGGTTTCACTGTATTCATTTTATAAATCAAGCTTTCATGTGAATATTTAATTACCTTGTTTCCTCATTTTGTCTCCGTGTAATGTAGTCCATAATTTAGCACATTTGTGGTGTAACTGACATGAGGAGGAACAGGACAAACCGCTGTTTATATTCGTACAGAACGGTTGGGCTAAAACCCAGACAAATATATTTGAATCTAATTACTGTAAATTATATTGTAAAGACAAGTTGTTTGGTGTAAGGATTATGTTGTTTTGTATGATATTAAGCAATGTTGAGTGATCAGGCATAGGATAAGTTTTGGGGCGAGATAGATTTGTGAACAAATATAAAAATCTCTTGACTTTTCCCTGCAATAACAATGTGGGCTCTGTCTTAGTCATAATGTGGAGGTAGGTATTAAATTCTTTGAAAATGTAGCAAAGTTGAAAGTATTTGAGAAGAATGGTATTGAATTCACTTAGAAATTAAGATTAGATTAAATTTGGGAAATATGTGTTATCATGTAAGACTTGAGGTTCTCACAGCGGTGAGTATGAAGATATCCGTCTTCTGGGTTTAAGATTTTTTAAGGATCGATGCGATAAAACGATAGTTCGAGGAACGATAGAAGCGGGAAAATGTAACATTATTTTATATGGGATGTATTCGGGACCGAACAAAACGGACGATGCATCCGGGAAAACGATAGTTCCGGGAACGATGGATAGAGGTTTCACTGTATTCATTTTATAAATCAAGCTTTCATGTGAATATTTAATTACCTTGTTTCCTCATTTTGTCTCCGTGTAATGTAGTCCATAATTTAGCACATTTGTGGTGTAACTGACATGAGTAGGAACAGGACAAACCGCTGTTTATATTCGTACAGAACGGTTGGGCTAAAACCCAGACAAATATATTTGAATCTAATTACTGTAAATTATATTGTAAAGACAAGTTGTTTGGTGTAAGGATTATGTTGTTTTGTATGATATTCAGCAATGTTGAGTGATCAGGCATAGGATAAGTCGTGACTTTCATATGTATCTTGGTACGCAGAACTAGCCGCCACTAACATTACTACTATCCATGGCATAGTTATGCACCTTATGTAAAAAGTGGAAGGATTAGATTGCAAATTTGACAATATTTCCCCTTCTCAGCATTGTTTGATCACCTTTAAGAGGAAAATAAATTATTGTAGATTCTGTAGTAATTTCTGACCACATTTCAATTGGATGTTACAGGATAAACAGTCATGGTTGTCTGAGCAAGAGATTTTTAAGCTGCCACACATGGACCATGAGGATATCCTGCGATATATTGGAGTGGAGAAACGTGGAGACAATTTACAGGCAGAATTTTGGCTAATTACTGCTTTCCATGAGAAGGGTTCACTGTGTGACTACCTCAAAGCTAATATTGTCACCTGGACTGAAATGTGTCGCATTGCCGAGTCTATGGCCAGGTATTTTGTCTTAGACATAAGCTTTCTGAAGAGAACTGTATGGAATGTGATTGGCTGATCATGTGTGTTGTAGAACAAGGCTCTTATCATGCACAGGTCTAAATCGGTCACAACAGAAATGGGGTAGTTCTCTGTCTAAGAAATTTTCCCCTGTAAGATAACACATTTTTAAAGACTTGACTCTTTTTTTGAAAGTGTCTGTTTAATCTCCTTAAGATGATAACATTCTGTGTGATAGGTTTTTCTTTTAAAGATGTTTGAAACAAATAGTGAAAACAGCGTGCGAGGTTCTGTACCGCATGTAATTTGGCTTTGAAGATATGCGTGATTAACATAAAATATTATTTTTCCATATGATAATTTGTTTATTGGTTTTCCTGTTTTTGGACATTTGGTTTATTACTGTCTTAATAAAATAAGTTGCTCACTCTCTCACCTGACAGAAACAAGGAAGTAAGTACACTGTAACTTCAGTAGGATTTATTCCTGTGACTCTGCATGAGCCCAACATGGTATCCATGAGCTAAATTGCATTTTATTGTTGAATTATGCACTTATATTTACCAAATTTAATATAACACAACATTTGTGGGACTGAAATATCCTTAAAACTTTGCATACCGTGTAGTGTATTAGAATATAGAGTAAACAAACCAACAACTATTAACACTATAATAGACGCTATTGCCATACGCGTTTCGACCTCAAGAGGTCATCATCAGTGGCGTCAGGGAAATTAATACATTTAGTCAAATGGTTCAAACTAGGTTCAGAATTAAAAATGAAAAGGTATTTGGCAAGATTTTTGAAGTGACGCTGCACTAGATGCTGTTATTCACAGGAGTTGAACTCTGCACTTAGCAGTTTATCCCGTTGTTCGATGGCCGTAGCTGGTCTCGGTGAGCTATAGTTTGTCGTCTGTACCTGTGAACTTTGTACCATTTGACTATATGTATTAATTTCCCTGATGCCACTGATGATGACCTCTTGAGGTTGAAACGCGTTTGGCAATAGCGTCTGTTATAGTGTTAATAGTTGTTGGTTTGTTTACTCTATATTGAAATCTCCTTGTTAATTTTGTCTGTATATAAACACAAAGCATTGTAATTGTTTGCTAAGATTGGCAGCATCACCAGCAAAGTGAATGATAGTTTCCTTTACACTGGCACTTGGCTAGGGAGTGTATGTTTTCATTAAGGCTAGTAATGTCACAAGTACAGGTGCGATGAAAGTTGTCGTAGTGGTTTGCTGTTGGTTTCAGTTTTACTAACTTTCATTTTTGCATTATGGGCATTGCTTGTTTATTTTAAACCGATTTTATATGCGTGGCTTACTCATGATCTTGACGATGAGTGCAGCATTACATCTGAAATGTTCGTAAACTTCTGCCAGGCTCTTTGCACTGCAAAACCAGAAGACAGCCATCTTCCGGTTGTCATAGTGGTGAAAGGATTCTGTTATTGTACTGTTGTTTTAACAGTTATAAAAATAACTGCGGCAGTTATCAAGGAACTTCGTATGAAATGTTATCCAATATTCTTCTCTCATGATTAACTGTAAATAGACAAAATTATTATGAGTTGCAGTGTGTATGTGCTTGTATGATTCACAATTAAGTAACCTCCTTATAAACCATTCCACTGAGAACACTTTCTGCTGAATTCTAAACTTAATTAAGTCTGAGATACAAACTCGCCTGGTCACTATTTACTGTAGGAATGACTCGTTCATCATGTCCGCTTGCAATACGGTGTCTTCATTCTTGGTGTTGCAAAGGTTCTTCCTCAAACAAACACTGTATGTAACAGATGAAGGTAAAAAGTAGATACACATTTTCATTTTATCTTCTGAATTTTTAATATGGAATTAAAAAGAATATTGTATATTTTGATGGGTTTTGTCTGCTTGTAATAGTGAAATCCAATTGTCTTAATGAATGCAATGAAATGCTTATTATGAAGTATGTGCACATCCGTACAGGGGACTAATGCATCTGCATGAGGAGGTTACGGCCAACAAAGCAGATGGCTACAAGCCAGCCATTGCACACCGGGACTTCAAGTCTAAGAATGTCCTACTGAAGTCCGACTTGACAGCCTGCATTGCAGACTTTGGACTGGCTCTTATCTTCCAGCCTGGGAAGCCATGTGGTGACACACATGGTCAGGTAAGAAAGTAGAGTTTTTCATAAATTGTACATGGCCTTTCATTAATTAAACATCCTGGAATATAAATTTATGTGAGCAGTAATATCTGGAGAGTTACAGTACACAGTCTCAGTTGTGAACTAATGAAAGCACTGATCACTGAATAATTTTTGTTAGAAGCTGTTCAAAACTTTAGGTTGGATATTAAATTGCCATCCACATTAATGTCACAATTGATAAAAATTTGAAAGAGGACAAAAATGACAATAATTTTAATATCATTGAGCATATTTAATAGAAGACCAATCAGATGCCTGGACAACTCAATCACTTTAGTTTCTACAGTAGCTGAATTTATTGCTTATAAACCTCTTGAAATTTGTATGTAGAGTAGATGAACTGATACGTTTAATGCTCTTAGGTAGGAACACGGAGATACATGGCTCCTGAAGTTTTGGAAGGTGCCATAAACTTTTCGAGAGATGCGTTCCTTCGCATTGATATGTATGCCTGTGGCTTGGTACTCTGGGAGCTGGTATCTAGATGCACAGTTCAGGAGGTAAGTCGCTGATTGTATATGTGCTCATTTGTTTATCATGTCAGCAAGACATTATCTTCAAATTCAATGCGAGATTAATGGAACACAACTACACATAGTTCTTTTGTCTTTGGATAAATAACAATCCGTGGCGTAACAGCCCTCCGAGAGCCAAAGCCGACTAGCTGGCTGCTAAATAGGAACATTTAATTTCCTTAGCAAAGGTTGATACACCCCTTTAGCATAACATTTCATGTTTTGGGAAAATAAAATGCCAACAAATGTTTCAGATTAGTTTGTCCACTTACTGAAAGCCTCTCCCTCACTCTTGCCACTACCAGACAATGGTTATTGTCACAATCTGCTCCTGTGAATGACCTCACATCAGTCATACTTGTCTGTCTTCTATTGTTTACTAAAACATGATTTATGTGATTGTGTATGCTACCATCTGGAGAAGTCCAAGTGTATGGTATTTTATACATTGTAAGTACTTACAATTTATCTTCATGCCTCAGTTTTATATTTCTACATGCCTTTATTGATCGTAAATCACAGAGCAAAGGAAGGACTCAGCTTTATGGAATAGGTCACAAAGCAGCCAAGATAGAACATGGGAAGATTTACACTGTGTGTATTTGTGTATTATTTGAATCCCATAGCCAGACAAGATGTTTCCTTTCTCATCCATGCACTCGGCACAGGTTTCTAGGTATCCATTAATTTTTTGAAGCAGTCAGATGCTTTGGGCGTCTTAAACAAGTCAGATTCTTTGTGTGGATTTGAAAG